TGGAGCGGCGCGACGGGCGCCAGCCAACTTTCCTCGGAGTTAGCTGGTGCCACCCGGGCGGTCCCCTGCCTCCCCTGTCCCCGGGGGCCCCCGAGCGGGGCCAACGCCACCGGGGAACCCCAGCGGGGCGCGAGGGGGCTCAGGGACTCTGCTCACTCCGGGAGCCCGGGGCCCCGCGCCGGGGAGCGGCGACGCCCACCTCCCCGCTCCCACGGGCCACGCCACAGACCGCGGGGACCTCCCCGAGCGAGTGCCCAGGAAAGCCTTTCCCGACCGGGGCCTCGCCGTCCTCGGAGCCCCGGCGTTCACCAGCTGGTGGCTCGTACGGCCGAAACGTTTGCCTTTTGCCGGAGCCCTCCTTCGAGGGGGGCCACCAAGAGGGAGCCGCCCGTCGTGGCTGGGAACGTGGCGTTGTTGAAACTTGGCTCCCGGCTCCTCCTGCTTTGCCTGCTGTCTAACACATGACTTCAGCAAGATGTCACCTTCCGTGGGACATCCGTGCAGAACCAAGACCAGGCACTTTTAAAGTGTTCGTTTCTAACCTGGATCCCTCGCTGAGAACCCCCCCCCCCTTCTCGAAAACCGTTACTGTTCTAAGACTTGGCAGCGTGGGGCCAGGAGATAGCGGCCCTCGCTACCTGAGCCGGCGGGTATTTCGGGCATGGCGGAGGTTGCCCTTTTGCCTGCTCTCCGAGCACTGATTGCGAATATCAGCCTGTCAGGCGATTTGGTGTGTCTTCCTGAAACCCTTAGAGACTTTTTCACTTGCAAATTAAAAAAAACTCATTTAGCTATAACTGCAAAGGGATTCAGAGCCTAGAGGGGATTTCAGAACACACTGTATCAAGTCCCTCAAAGAGTAGGTCAGTAACAAATACATTTCAGCGCCCTATATTTGAAAACATAATCAGACTTTTTCTCTTTATAGCTTATGAGTCTGGTCCACAGAGTGCACGTGTTCACACCTAAGGCTCCCTTGACATGAGCTTAAATCCATGGCGGCCTTGGGTGGACACATCGAGCTGCTACCCACAAGGCCTCACTCAACCCACTGCCGTGGAGTTAATTCTGACTCATAGTGAGCCTATGAGTAGATCCTATAGGACAGAGTAGAGTTGCGTCTATGGGTTTCTGGAATCGGAACTCTTTACAGGAGTAGAAAGCCCGGTAGGTTTTTGGGTTTCAAACAGCTAACCTTGGTGCTTAGCACCCCCAACGCATAACCGTTACACCACCAGGGATCCTGTAGACTAAGGACAGCTGTTTGAAACCAGCAGCCACTCTGCGTGAGAATCTTTCAACTCCCGGAAAGAGTTTTGGTCTTGGAAACTCATAGGGGCAACTCAAGCCTGTCCTAAAGGGTCTCTGAGTCAGCATCAACTTGATGGCAGTAAGTTCGGGGGGGTGGGGGGGTGGGGGGGGTGATGATATAATGAAGGGACACTGGAATGTTAGCTGCCACAGAGGTAAGTGATTTGGGAATCATTTTAGAGGGTCACCCTCGTTGTGATGTCACATTTGCTGTTTAACATAGCGAGGTCCATTTTAAAAGGAAATCATAATATAATAAACTTGAAAAAAAATTCTAGAGCCCAAATAATCATTAATTTAGTTAAATTCGACTCTACTTAGCTTCTGAAATAATCATAACTAATCTCTCTTGGACTTAGGGATTTCCTGAGGGTGGGGTGGGAGGTGGAGATGAGGACAATAAAATGTTTTGGCCAATCGGCCAAGTTCCATCTGCTGGGTGCCTTGGCTCATTCTATTTTGTTACCATGGTAACCTTCTTACAATTTAGTCCAGTGGCACTCAACCTGTGGGTCGCCCAATTCATAACAGTAGCAAAATGAATGTGATGAAGTAGCAACAAAAATAATTTTATGGTTGGGTAGGTCACCAGAACATGAAGAACTTTTTTAAAGGGTTGCGGCATTAGGAAGGTTGAGAACCACTGATTTAGTCCATTATTCTCAACTAATTCTAAGGTTACTTCTGTTTAATAAATTTGTAATCTGGTAAAATTGTACATTTTGAAGAACTTTGTCCTTAAAATCAGCTAAATTGTGTCACAATATCCACGTCGAAAGATTTCTAAGCAGAACTGAATGTGCAAAAATGCTACAAGATTCTTTGGTGTTTTCTCTGTACTCACATAGAAATATTGATCATGGAGGGGGGATTCATTTATAGACTATATTTAAGAAAGGAGCCCTGGTGGTGTAGTGGGTATGCATTGGGCTGTGATCCTCATGGTCAGCAGTTCAAAACCACCAACAGCTCTACAGGAGAAAGACTGGGCTTTCTACTCACATAAACAGTTAGTCTCAGAAACCCACAGGGGGTCACTATGAGTCAACATGGACTAGATGGCAGTGAGGTTTGTTTTCTCCTTTTCAGATATTTAAGAATGCTTTTTTTCATATGCCAGTGTTTAAATCCAGAAGATAAATGTGGTGTGTCTCGGGGAGGAGATGAGCCAGTCAGGGTGCAATGTAACAATGATGAGAAATACAATCTTCCTCTAGTTCCTAAAGGTTTCCTCCCCGCTCCCACTACCATGACTCAAATTCTATCTTGCAAGACTGGCTAGACCAGAGGAGGTACACTGGTACAGATAGGAACTGAAAATACAGGGAATCCAGGACGGATGAGCCCTATAGGACCAGTGGTGTGAGTGGCAAAACAGGGAGGGTAAAGGGAGAATGGGTAGGAAAGAGGGAACCAATTACATGGAACTGTGTGTGACCTCCTCCCTGGGGGACAGACATCCGAAAAGTGGATGAAGGGAGACGTCGGACAGGGCAAGATATGACAAAATACCCATTTATAAACTATCAAGGGCTCATGCGGGAGGGGGGAGCGGGGAGGGAGGGGAAAAATGAGGACCTAATGTCGGGGGTTTAAATGGAGAGAAAATGTTTTGAGAAACGATGTACAAATGCGCTTTACACAATTGATGTGTGTATGGATTGGGATAACAGTTGTATGAGCCCCTAATAAAATGTTAAAAAAATAAATAAATAAAACAAAAAAAATTGCTAGTAGTTGAATTATTTCAGAAGCTGAGAAGCCTCTAATCAAAATCGCAGATGATTTAAATTCTGGGATTAAAAATTTGATTTTTTTAACACTCTTTTGAACTGGGATTTACTGTAGCAGCACCTCCGCCATTACAGTGATTCTTCCGTGCCAACTACCGTCTGCAAAACACAGATTTGAAAGATGATGGGATTTCCCCACAAACGTTTTGAAGCCCCTCTTACAGCCTCTCTCCATTCTCCTCGTTATTTGACTGCTCATCTTCAATAGTTGTCTATCTTGATATGTAGAAACCAGAAATGTATGCAGTGTACCAGAGGCATATTTCTTGGGATTTTTATACAAGAGTAGAATAGCGTTTTCTGAAGCATTCCCCACACTTCCTGAATTAGGGATCCTTGTGCCATACATCCTGTTCTTGATCAGCTCTGTACTGGCTGTTTGTATTTTTTATTTCGAGCCTCTTTCCTCTCGCCCTCTATTTCAGTTGCCGCAGCCCAGGCTATTGCTGAAGAAAGACGACGGAATCAAAATGGTATTATTGCAGATGTAATGAAAACCTCCAGTATGTCATTTAAACCTGGTATGATTCCTATAGTGCCTTGATAGATGTCAAAGAATCAGTTAGATTTCCTACTACGAATGCCTAATTGTATTCTCCCCCCTCCCTTCTCTTTTTTAGTAATTGACGGCTCTGTTTTAAGAAATGATCTAAAGCAACAGCTCGCAAAAGAACGCAGAGAAGAAAAACAGCGACTACAAGATGGTATTATTTGAGTTTTTTTACAAAAAACAAAATGAAGGAATTTTATGTTCAGGTTATCTATTTACCAAGGAGTTCACTTTTTCTAATCTGTTTATATGATAGGGGGCAATTTTTATATGACATATCAGGTTCCTTTAACTACTTATACAATAAAGCACGTAAAGTGGGTCCATACAAATTTCTGACCAATTTATTTTATTTTTGAAGCAGTTTCTTTTTTTTTTAAAGATAATTTTATTGGCGGCTATTACAGCTCTTATGACATTCCATACATTGATTGTATCAAGAATTTTTGTACATATGTTTCCATCATCATCGAACCATTATTTTCTGTTACTTTAATTTTTCTGAAAACAGAGACAGTGTGTGCAGTAAATATAGAAGGGGATTTCACTCGTTTTTTTCTTAATAATCATTTTACTGGGGGGCTCGTATAACTCTTATCACAATCCATCCATCCATTGTGCCGAGCACATTTGTACATTTGTTGTCATCATCATTCTCAAAACATTTTTTGGGGGATTTAACTCTTAAATGTATTCTCACAACTTTAAATGAAGTTGCTAATAATCTTAGTGTATGTTATCAACTTCTTTTTTACTGATCACTATGCTTCTAAAGCATAAGTTTATATAAATTAGACACTAAAAGAAGGATCTTCCTACAACTGGCAAGAATGCTTTGGTCTTCTAAATCCAGAGCTGAAACTCATGCTCAGCTTCATCCAAGTGGCATAGAAATGACTTCTGTTGATGGAGCACTGTTTCTCTCTGTAGCCCCTTCAAAATGTCTTTCACTTTTGGCTTTCATGAGGGAAACCTGGAATATAGGACAGCATTCTGCCGTGCACGCATGTAATATACGGCTAAGTCCATGAACAGCAAACCGGGCCTGGTCTGTAGAAATGAGACTTTTCAAAGAAATTCCCTACTAGAGGGGAGTCGAGTCTTATTGCCATGCCCAGCACACTCACAAGAAAGAAGGTACCGTATATACTCGTGTTTAAGTCTAGTTTTCCAGCACAGTTTTAATGCACTTTTTATGGTGCAATTAGGTGCCTCAGCTGATATTCGGGTCGGCTTATCCTCGAGTATATACGGTAGTAGCTCCCTTTTCATTTAGAGTTGTATGTTGGCCAGAATCAGCAACAGCTCTACCAATCCAGTTCTCCAAGTTCTTCAGTGGCCCTCTGTGTTACTGGGTTAGTTATTAGCGCCAGCTATTTTAAGAAAGACTGTGCTACATGTGGACCTTTTCCTTCTGTGTGTGTGATGTGGAAAACATAACTAGTGTCTTGACTTGTACACCCTGAAAATGTATTTGAACTATTTCAGCCAATAAGGAATTACAGTTCCTAGAAAAAGAAAGAAAATCGAAGTTGGTCTACGAGAAGCAGCTGGAAGAAAAACATCGAAAGCTGAGGCAACAAAATGAAAAAGAAGAGCAGCGAAGAGCGTCTGCAGAATGTAAGAGAAAGCAGAAGTTAGAGGAAGACAAGGTAAACATACTGTTTTACCCAATTACTCATGTCATGTTCTGTGTGGCTTGGGTCAGGGGTATTTTTCTCTCAACCCATCTCTGCCCTGGACTGGTCTACCCTGTGAAAGGAGAACCTTGCTCACTCCCACCTCAGACCCCCGTGCTTCTGTGCTGGTAAGATCCCAAGCAATTTGGATCCCTCTCTGAGGTAAAGGGGAGCCTGGCATGTCCCAGAGCAGTGCGCGAAGGGCATGTGACCTGTGGCTTGCCCTACTGCTAAATAGAATTCAGGATTGTTCTATTGTCACGTGAATAGGGCAGCCCCCACTGTCTAGCCTTCCCCAATATGCCAACTAACTTTTTTCTTCTTCTCCCATCACCTCTAATTGCATCAAACTCCCCGGGCTAATGGAGCCATGGTGGCGTAACCTGTTAAGCACCCAACTGCTCTCTCTTCCTTGATTCCATTGGCTCTCAGCTGTCCCGATGTAAATCCTTGTAAGTCGTTAGTCTCTGTTCTGGTGCTCAGTCCGACTCTGCCCCACCCCAACCCCACCAATGGCTCTTCTTTCTCCTTTCTTCGTCTAGGCTTCTCCCTGTTGATCTCTCCCCATGCTGCCGCCACCTCCTTCTCTTTGGACACATCCTGGCTCTGGCACACGCCCCTCCTCCATCCCCGTCTCCAGTGCTCAAACACAAAACCAACTCACTGTCATTGAGTCCATAGGGACCCTACAGGGCAGAGTAGAACTGTCCCCTTTGCTTTCCGTGTCTGTAACTCTTCACAGGAGTAAGCTTCATCTCTCTCCCACAGAGAAGCTGTTGGTTTTGAACCGCTGACTCAGCTACCGGAGGACCTTCCTCCATCCCCTTCCTCTAATACCAGTGGTTCTCAACCTTCCTAATACCGCGACCCTTTAATACAGTTCCTCATGTTGTGGTGACCCCCAATCATAAAATTATTTTCGTTGCTGATTCATAACTGTCATTTTGCTACTGTTATGAATTGTAATGTAAATCATGATATGCAGGATGTATTAGGTGACCCTTTGGGTCGTTCGACCCCCAAAGGGGTCACTACCCACAGGTTGCGAACCGCTGCTCTAGGACCGACCTAGGCCATGTCTTTGCTGCCTGTGGCCCATACCTCTCTCATTCTTTCTCTGCTGTTTTTCTGCCGTCTTTCTGGTGTTGATTTATAGTCTTTGCCAGCTCCCATTATTTTGTAGACTCAGCAACTCTGTCAGTTTCCCTTCTCCTGTGTCTGTTGGGTGTTTCTAGGGCAGAGAGGGGAATCCTTGGTCCACAGTGCTTAAGCACTCCGTTTCTAGATGGAAGGTTGGTGGTTCACACCCACCATTGGCTCTGCAGGAGAAAGATGTGACCGACCGTCTCCTTCCCTAAAGAGTCACAGCCTCAGAAACACTGTGGGGCAGGAATGGATGCAATGGCAATGAGTTTGGGGGCCAACGAGAACAAAGACCTGGAAGAGAATTTTTAAAAGCAACAGAAATGACACTATAGCCCAGAGGTTCTCAACCTGTGGGTCGCGACCCCTTTGGGGGAGGGGGTCGAACGACTCTTTCACAGGGGTCCCCTAAGACCATCAGAAAACATACAGATATTTCACAATATATAATTACATATTGTTTTGTGATTAATCACTATACTTTCATTATGTTTAATTATGTTCCATTTGTAACAATGAAAATACATCCTGCCGATCAGATATTTACATGATGATTCATCACAGTAGCAAAATGACAGTGATGAAGTAGCCATGGAAATAATTTGATGGTTGGGGGGGTCACCACCACAGCGGAACCGTATTAAAGGAAGGTTGAGAACCACTGCTATAGACAAAAAGGGAACCACTGCTATAGACAAAAAGGGACAGGGTCGGAGATAAGGAAGGAAGGGCAAAAGGGAACTAGTGGGGGGGAGCCCTGCAGGGAGTGAGGGTACATGTGGGAAAAGAGCAGACCACAGCGCAAGGGGAAGGGAACTGGGCTTTGCTGAGGAAGGGTGGGTGTGGGGAGGGTGTAGGCAGCTGCCCTGGGGCAGCCTTGGAGGCAGGAAGGGACCTGAATGAGCATGAGAAGCAGGCCTTAGGAAGCAGTGGGGGAGAGTATTCTTAGGGATAAGAAATGTTTGAAGAAAACCAATGATCACATCTCTTGGTAGTCTGCATTATCATTTGAGGCTTTGAAATGACAGAAAACATAACATTTTAAAATCCTGTCATTAAATAACATGTTAAGAACTGCAGTTCTCCTCTCCTCAGAGGAAATGGAGAACTTTCCGGTTCCTAGTGTGTTTATCTTTGCCCTCAGAGAAACAGTGGGGACCTTGTAAGGTTGATGCTGTAAGGAAATGCTTGTTGTCAAGGAAGAAGACAAAAACATCTGGCCCTGAAGTTGGTTTGCTTACCTGAGTATAGGTAACTCCCGCTTTTCAAAAGCTGGCTGAATGCTCTTTTGCTTTTACAAGAGACCGGCATCCCTACCTGTTTGGCCAACCCAGAGTAATCCCTTGAGGGATTTTGCATGTATGAAAAAAGGTGAAACGTGAGACACTAGCATTCAGCATTTCTTCCTGTTTTCTCTGTTTTTATAATTTTTTTAAGTTGGGTTTTGATACACATATCATTCCAAATTTCAGTAGAATGTACAGTTGCTACCACAATCAGTTTCCAAACATTCTTTTCTATGTGCACTCCTGGACATCATCTCCCATTTACACCCCCCCCAACCACCACTGTACCCATCCCCAGCATTTGTTTTGCAGGGAGCCCTAGATCACAGGGAGCTCAGTGTCACCCAGCTCCTTCCAGGGAATGACACTCAGTATCTCAGCATCAAACTGCCATCGCTTTGAACCCTCTGCCCCTGAGCACCGTGCTAGTGTTAGCTTATGCTTAATACATTTTTTGGTATGATTTGGTCAGTTATTTGGCAGTGGGTGGGTGGGTGGGTGGGATGGGGAATGCTGAAGAATTCTACCCATAGAAATGAATGGTAACCATTTCTTCGCTTTACCCCATTTCAGTTTAAGAAAGGTTACATAGGACCACGCTATATTCGGAGGGTAGTGGACACTTGTATAGAGTACAGGAATGGGGAAAGAAAACATTTGTATAGTTGTTACCCTGACCAGTTTAAATTGAGGTTGAGGTTAAGAGAAACACATTAGCGATCTTTTTGAAACTTTATACGTAAGATGTTATAAATCTGAATATCATAGACAGATTTCATTTTACTTACCTGTGTGTTTAGTTGTCTTTGCCCCTGCCTTATTCTACAAAGAATTTAAGCTGACTGTAACATATATACACCATATTCGATGGTAAACTGAACGATGAAGAGAATCAAGAGGGGGAAATTGAGGTAGGGAGATAAAGCAAAAGTTATGATAGGCATCCATAAAAGTATCCCACTTAGTGTATGTCCAGGTGCTAGAAAGAGTAGAAAATTTTCTTATGTTAAAAGCAAAGCAGGGAAATATGATCAGTTTAAGGATGCAGGGCCCAGGAGGTTATAAACATTTAATTGTTGAAGAGAAGCACTTCCATTCATTGGTACCTGAAACACGTCTCTAGCTGTTTGTGTCTACGTGATACCCAAAGAAGGGCAGGTGTGTGATGGGGTTGTTTGATCAACCACAGATCAGAATGGTATTAACCAATCTAATAAAGATGTTCAAACATGTGTTGGCATTTATTTTAAACAGGAGAAATATAAAGCTGCATTGAACCGAACATCAGAGCACAGCAGCCGTGTTGACTTGCATCCAAAGAGGTGGTCCTGGGAAAGTTCTTTGGCCTTTAATTTGGAGAGCGGATCTGGTAATTAACACAATGGTTACACTTGAAGTTCATTGATGTTAATAGCAAAATAGTGGTGTTCAGATTTAAGTGTTATATCCTACGGGAAGGTAGTAATATGTGGTCTATGGTGTCCATAGTAAGTGTCTATGGAATAAGAAACAGGTAAAATTAGCTTAATTTAATCAGGATATTCTAAATCATGCCATTTAAACTCAATCAGCTGAAGAAATGATTAATGCTCATTATATAGCTTATCAGTTTATACAAGTTCATAAAAAGAGAAGTGAACCGTATATGATTGGAAGGAATGGCAGATGATAACCATTAATGAACACATCTGTCCCCCAGAGAAATACATCATGAAATTTCATTTTGTTTCAGTCGCGATGCTTTCTCCTTTAAACATAATTACATTAAATTTCATACCCTGTTCTTAGCTAACCGCCGTTCTAGTTCCACTGAGACACTTGAACAAAAAAGTGTCGCTGTCAACAGACCCACGTCTACCACAGCTACCGGTCTTCACCCTCCTGCTCTTAATAGTAAGTAGTTGTTTCTTCTACATGACAATCAGAAAAACACAAATCATCCGATGCATCTGTGCAGGACACTTCATGCTTGTGACTGGAGACCATTTAAATGTATTTCACAGGAACAACACATTGCACAGTAGACCGGGTTGCTTTGACTTCCACATTGTTTCATTATTGATACAGTTAGAGCTCGTGGGGATTTCAAGGAGGAGGCCTTTGGTTTCGTTGCTTGTCAATCTTTTCTTATTATTAATTGGGATTAATACATAAATCAAGTCCTTCCATAGTTCAGTCACATTCAGCAGAATTGAACATTTGCTACCACAATCAGTCTCCAAACATTCTTTTTCTATATGGACCCCTTGACGTCATCACCCCTTCACCTTGCCCCCATCCCCGGTGTCCCCCTCCTCCCCACACCCCTATTCCACTTGCTGACTCTATAGGTTCATCAGTCCTAGTGTTCATACCCCCCAAAATGGAAAAACACATAGCGCATCTTCAATCAAAAACAAAACAATACAGGCCCCCAAATACATAAAATTTGGGAAATCAGATCCAGTGTGCATCTCAGGGGAAATCTGCTGACTATTAACTGTTCAAGTCAGGCCTATGCCTTTGACCTTCTCTACTCAACCCCCCAATGCGCTCCATTAGTGACCGCTTTCCTCCTATCCCTAAGTTGAGGAAAACAGGAGTTAACCAGAGGTTTATTTTCTTATATTCCACCAGTGAATCTTGTGCTCCCCCTGCCATCCAGAACCTTCTGCAAACCTTCCCTCCCTTCACCTTTGGATTATAGGCTTCACAACCCTTTGGTGATTAATGATGCTGTGCTCCTTCCATGTGGACTTAGTTGACCTCTCATTTAGATGGTTGTTTGTTCAGACAAGCCTTTAAGATCACAGACACTATTTTATTTGATAGCTGGGCACCATCTAATTTCTTCACCACATTTTGCTTGATCACCTGTTTCTGTGTTCCCTTCCTGGAGGTGAGTATTGAGCAGGGCCATGATGTCAGAGCTAAAAACTGAAGCTGGGATTTAGTGTGAGCCCCCAAATTGTACCTGGTCCCAAGTACATCTTGGAGGAAAACTTTGCTAGCATTATTTGCAGTGCCATGTTTATGTATTTAGAATTTATATGTTTATTGCTTTATAAGCATTGACTATACATCTTACTAGCTAGATACTTTGAAGAATTGGCAACGACTTCCTCCACAGGCATTTATTGCATTTTAAATTTGTAAATACCAAACGCTTTCATTAATATGTCTACTTGCTCTATTAATGACACATATATAAAGAAGAGACTGATGACGACTTTTAAGGTAATGCATAAATTTCACCAAAAGAACAAGTTCAACTATTATTTTTTTAATTACTCTTTTTATTGGGGCCTCTTACAGATCTTATAACAATCTATACATCAATTGTATGGAGCATGCTTGTACATATATTGCCATCATCACTTTCAAAATATTTTCTTTCTACTCGAGCCCTTGGTATCAGCTCCTCATTTTTCCCCTCCCTCCCATCCTTGTGAATCCTTGATCAATTATATATTATTATTGTTCTTTTCATATCTTACACTGTGCTATCTCCCTTCACCCACATTTCTGTTATTCGTCCACCACTGGTGGGAGGGTGTTGTTAAATATACATCATTCTGATCAGTTCACTCTTTCTTTCCCTTCCTCCCCACCATCCCCCTACCCTCATGGAGTCGCTGCTCCCACTACTGTTCCTGAGGGCTTTGTCTGACCTGGATTCCATGTGTCGAGAGTTCTTACCTGTACCAATGTGTGTGCTCTGCTCTAGCCGGATTTATAAACTAGAACTGAGGTCATGGTAGTGGTGGGGAGGAAGCACTAGAGGATTGATGTGTGTTTCAATGGTGCTATTCTGCACCCTGGCTGAATCGTCCCTTCTGTGTGACCCTTCTGTGGGGGGGATATCCAATTGTTTACAGATGGGCTTTGGATCTCCACTCCACCCCCTTTCACTCACATTGATATAATTGTTTATTTTGGATCTTTTGATACATGCTACCTGATCACGTCGACACCTCATGATTACACCAGCTGGTGTGCTTCTTCCATGTTGGCTTTATTTGTTCCCTACTAGATGGCTGCTTGTTTAACTTCAATCCTTTAAGACCCCAGACATTACATTTTTTGATAAGTGAGCACCATCTGCTTTCTTCACCACATTTGCTTATGTACCCATTTTGTCATCAGCGATCATGTCAGAAAGGTGAGTATCACAGAGTGCCAGGTTATTAGAACGAAGTTTTCTTGTGTCGAGGTCCCAAAGTCTGTCTGCTATCTTAATACTTAACATGCAAATATATGCACATAGACTTATTTCTCTATCATAAATTAATATATTTACATATATACATGCCTATATTTATACCTCTATAAATGGCTTTTGCCTCCTCGTTCTTTCCTCTATTTTTTGCTTTCTTCTTGTCCCACCATCATGTTCGGCCTTCATTTGGGTTTCAGTAATTTCTCTCGGTTACACTGCCCTTGATCAAGCCCTATCAGGCCTTCTACACCTTATTTGCCATCAATTTTAGATTCCGTATTGTTCCCTTGTCCCTGATTTTGTTGGCTACCCACTCCCTTTACCCTGCCTTCCCTCTCCCATGACCACTGGAACCGTTGATCCCGTTGTTTTCTCCTTGGGATTGTTTATCCTGCCTACCTAGATAGACACAGAGAAGAAGAAAAGAAAAAAACCCAATAATAGTTCCAGGTCTGTCTGCTGACCCTTATGTATATTTTCCGATCGAGTTGGATGAGGTGCAAAGCCCTGCCTTCCAAGTCTGAAGTCTATTTTCGGGATTTCTTGGGGTCTCTGTTGCTTTGCTCCCCTTGCTGCTCTTGCACTCCCTTTTGTGTTCCACCCCCGTGTGTGTGTGTGTGTGTGTGTGTGTGTGTGTGCGCGCGCGCGCGCGCGTGCACGCGGAGGTGGTCAGACCAGGGACACTGCCCACACAGTGTCTCCAGTGCTGTCCCCGTCAGTGAAGTGACATTGTGTCTCACGGTGGAGCCGGCCCTACACTCCTCTCTGCATTGGTTGCTCCTAGCATGGAGCTCGTCCTTGGAGCTTGGTGGCCCATGATGTGGGTCTCTCTTTCTCCCTTTTAGCTCACTCCCTTGTGGTCTGGACAGACCCTCCACTCTCCCTGGGCTATATTACCTTGGGGGGGGTGGCGGGGAGGGGTCAGCAGTCCTCTGGATTAGTTTGCTGCTCCCTGCTGGTGTGTTGCTCTCAAGGCTTGGCGCACCGGAAATGAGGTCTGGTCCCTCTTCCTTTCCTTTGGAGATATAAACAGTACCCTCCCCCCTGGGTGGATTATCAACTAACTTTTTAAATGTTGCCATTACTAGTTTATAATACAAGAAGGTACATGTGGATACTTTATGAAATACGTAACTTGCTTAAAGGGACAGCATTGCACATGCTTCAATGATGAAGCTGTCACTAATGATTTCCACAGAAAGTAAAAATTGCCAATGTGTTTAAATTGATTTGAAGCCTATTCAATCCAGAGAGATTGACTATTCAAACTCAAATGAAGTGTAAAATCCAAAGTGTAGTCTAATTTCAGGCAAATTTACGTAAAAAATACACTAGTGTTAAGTTTGAGGATGTTGAATCCCTGCATTAAATCAGAAATTCTTACAAACAAGCTTTTTTTTTTTTTAAAGAAGATTCTGAAAAAAAAAAATAAAAAAATAAAAAAAAGAAGATTCTGTTTTAAATGGTTCACTTCTCTTTTACTATATCTGAATGTTTAGTAAAAAATAATGTCCCTTTGCACTGGCTCTCTAGGACTAACAGATAAGAAGAGAAGCGTGTCTTTGGTCAGCAAAGATATTAAGATGTATTCATCTACCGAATTGGACCAGCTACGAAAGGAGGAGAAACTATGTGGTTAGTTGTTTCTAAGAACAAATCATTAAGTCATCGTTTAAAAGAGGTCAGCGTAGGTCAAGATTGGAGCGCTGGTGGTGTAGTGGTTTACCAGTTGAACTGTTATTTGCAAAGTCAGCAGTTTGAAACCACTAGTCACACTGGGAGAAACGAGAAGCTTTTTACTCCCAGTTATTTACAGCCTCAAAATCTCACATAAAAATGTATAATCGTAGTTCTACTCTGTCCTTTACAGTTGCTAGGAGTCGGAATCAACTCGATCGATGATGGCAGTGAGTAAGCGTCCAGATTTAGTTTCTTGAGAAGTCGATCCTAAAATTAAACGTCTCTTTTTCACTAAACAATGCACATTGATAGAGAGCTTTCTTTCCGGCAGTTCGTGTTTCATTGACTGCGCCCCAAATTTCTTGATTCTTACTGAAAGATTTCTGTGTTTCAAGTAGTCTAAGATCTCCTTTTTGGAAAGGCTAGTTGCTTCTGTGTTTTCACTAAGCAATTACTGATAGATGACTCTCCAAGAGTGGTGTCCTTAGAGTTGATATTACACAGTGCTGTAACGCACGCGCACATACATATGCAAGGCTGGGCAGAGTGGTCTTGTCTCACCCTCCTGCAAGGCTGGTGCAGAGCCAGGCAGTCAGGCCCCTCCTGGCCCCCGCCCCTCAGCTCTGCACAGCTTCTCCTGTCGCCCGTTGGCCAAGGCAGAGGCCTTCTCCACCCTATGGCCTGAGTGCCTCATTGTGACTAAAAGAGGAAGGATGAAGCCATCACCTAGGTGACCCCTCCCTCTGCAGCACCATTGACTCTGGGGTCCATTTGGTGTCACCCCCTCCAACAATATCAGGGCAAGAGTTTGATGAAAACATCTTCTCGTAATAAGAGAATTTAGTCTATCTCTAAGAGTTTTAGGCAATGGATTTAACCCATGATTATCAGTGACATATATCGGTAGAAATTCATGTAGAAATGCCAAAATCTAGAAATCCAAAATAATTTTTAAAGTTGTTTCAGCATGTACACCTTTTTTTCTGTTTTCCTATGTATGGAGGCCCCTCCATAGGGACTTCATTGAATGCGGTATCTCACCCAAACACCACCACCAAGTTGATGCCAACTCAAAGCAACCCTATAGCACAGGGTAGAACTGCCCCGTGTGAGTGTCCGAGACTAACCTTTTTCTGCAGTAGAAAGCCTCTTCTTCCTCCCGCAGAGCAAGCATCTGGTGGTTTTGAACTGCTGACCTGTGGTTAGCAGCCCAACGTGTGGGAGGATGTATCATTTTGGGATCTCTGTTACCCAGATCCCTTGTGGGTTATTGTGGTCTGCTGGCTCCTTCCCTTGTTCTTCGGGTGCTCTCTTCCCGAACCTGATGGGTCAAAACCACTTACCTAAAGGATAGGCAAGGTGTCAGGCCAGCGGGGGCGTTCACTCCTGTTGTGTTCGATGTTTTCCTCTTGGCCTCAACTCTGAGGCAAGGAACTTTATCCTTTGCAGACGTTCATACCCCTCTTCTTGCTTTGTTTGTATTTGTAAGACCTCTAATGAAATCCTTTTCAATTTGTCCTCATTTAGTTCATCGCCTATGCCCTCCACATGCGATCGTCAGTCGTCTCCTGGAGCCAACCCTAGCGTCACTTGCCAGAAGTCAAAGCGTGACTTCCTTACCCAGCCCAGCAAAGGCTACATCAGGTGACAGGCATGTGGGAGGAAGTCTGAGGGGCTAATATTTGCGCTTACAAAATGGGTTATTACATATCAATCATTCTAACCAGCCGTTACCAAATTAGCACTTTGACCTAATGGTTTATGTTGTGTGTGTGTGTGTTTATGACTTCTAACGTGATAGAGTGGCTATAGGTCCTCATAGAGTATAGATAGTTCTCAGTTATAGGTCACCTGGGTTATAGATAATAAAGAGGATGAGATTACTAACTTTGATGGTAATTTTAAAGCTCTATGAGATGCTGGCCCTGAACCTAGATGATGTCGCTGCACTGTAAAATATACTGGATTTTTAAAATGTGGGAAAACTTAATATCAAAGTACAATGTTTCCTACTCTAGATGCTCCTTTTCCTGAATTTATGGAAGAGTTACACTTAGTGCCTTTTCTACTTAAATTAGGGAAATAAAGATGGTCTGAAAAAACAAATGAACAAATTGCCAGAGTTGGCATTTCAGACCCACCAGTTAGCTGCTCTGTGGGAGACATGCCTGGCAATCCACTCCTAGAAAGACGATAGCCTTCTCTCCTCGTAGCCGTCTGCTCCGTCCTCGAGGATCGCGTTCAGTCAGAATCCTCTCACCGAGACATAGCAGCATTCTTATGCTGTCTATTTAGTCATTTTTGCCCTTTTGGTTTTCTAACTTTATGGAATTTCATCCTCTGCCCTCCTTCACCTGTAGGCGTCAGTACCAGTGTCGTCCACCATCTTAAGACGGCCATCCGGAGCCCTAGAAATGATGAACCAAAGACACCTAATTTGCCTCCAAACTCCACTATAAACATGATGCATTTGGCAAAACCAAAATTCTTGCCCGAAGGGAAAATAGAAATGCCCCTGGTCACCGGTATGGAAGCATTTCCTGCGGCTGCCACAAAAGTGTCCCCCAAGATGGACATGAAAGCCTCCTCAGAGACCAAGGTAAAAGCTCCCCCTGAAGCCTCTCCTAAAACTAGCATAGACATCAATGTGGAAGCCCCTCCAGAGGCCGGGGTGGAAGTGTGCCCAGGGACCAGCATGGACGTACACGTCGAGGCTAGCGTGGATGTCTGCCCCAAGACCACGGCTGACATCCATCCCACGGCCGCAGTGGAAGTGCATGTGGAAGCGAGTGGAAGCGAGATGTGTGGGGTAACAGCCCTTGATGGTGTAAAGGGAACCTCTTCTCAGGTAAAAAGCAAAAGTGGGAAGCTCCGCAGAGGTTTGTTATTAAGAAGCACTTATTGACCATTTGTTCTATTAAAATCTGTATACTTAGCTGTATAGATTATGATAGGTCAGATTTCTCAATGTATCCAACTCGTTTATAGTATTCTGCAATAAAATGTGTCAAGGAGAACTTCTTTAAACTAATAACAAAATTCTCAGATATTCATTGTACTAGAGTTTCTCCTCCTCACTCCCCCACCACACACACACACACACACACACACACACACACACACACACGAATATTAATGACCGGGAGAAAATGTAGTAGCTTATGTGGGCTATGTTTCTAAAAGTGTAACTTTTTGAGAAGTTTTTTTTCTAAAACCCTTAATTGGGACTTGAAAATGAAATTAGGTTTTGAAATTAAAAAAATATCTATCATTTAACCTGCTTGATTTTTTTTTGTCATAACATGAATTGTTAGTCTGGGGGAAAAATAGCTCTGTTCGAACTCTAAGCAGCATTCATGGAGCTTGTCATACATGAAGGCAAAATAGGGGTTCTTTTAATAGTTTTATTGGCACATCGTTTGTATACCACACAAAGTAATCCTTCGATCACACTCAGGAGAGTTGTGCAATCAGCACCACAATCAATTTAGAACATTTTCTTCTCATACACATTGTTATTAGCTCCCGCACGTCCCCACAACCTCTCCTGCTGCCATGCCCCTATGTAATCACTGGTTTTTATTCAAAATGTTTTTCTCTTAAAAAGAAAAGCCAGCTGCAGGAACATTAATGCCAGTAATTTCTTTTCTTACCGTATCAGTCTGCTCAGAAATCTGCCTCAAGTCTTGGGAGCAAGAAGCGCCTGCCATCCAACACATTATGTTACCAGCGGTCTACAACCGGGTGTCGCGCACCTTCTCCTACTAAGTAAGTAGCTTATCTGCAGCCACCTCCAATCAGTTTTTTACTAGGACAAATTTCACGTTAATGTTTCATAAATGAAATCCTTTACCAGGACAAATTTCACATTGACATTTCATAAATGAAATAATGTGGTGTGCCTGGTAACCTAATTGTAAAGCGGAAAAAATAGCATTAGATATTATGATCATATTTCACTATCACGAACATCATATTTTATGAAATGGGACCCTAGGAATGAGCACACGTGGCTTATAAAACCTCAACTATTAACTTTTTCACAGCAGACTAGCCCCAAAGAATCGCCCTCCATCGCCTTCATCGAAGACATCCTCTCATTCGAGCAAAGGAACCCCTGTTCAACAGACCGGGTGTGCGACAAGTGAGTTAAATGAAACCAAAATGGAACACAAAACAAAACAAACCTTTTCATGGATAGATAGTTTGGGAATGGTCACTTGCGTCCGTCCTACTCTAGGGATCTGAGACTGTAGAGCAGTGGTTCTCAACCTTCCTAATGCCACGACCCTCTAATCCAGTTCCTCATGTGATGGTGACCCCCCCCCCCATAACATTATTTTTGTTGCTACGTCATCACTGTCATTTTGCTACTGTTATGAATCGGGCGACCCCTGTGAAAGGGTCATTCGATCCCCAAAGGGGTCACGACCCACAGGTTGAGAACCGCTGCTATACAGGATTTCCAAGCTTTTACAGGAGCAAATTGCCTCGTCTTTTTCTGTGGGACCTTACCTTTTAAGTCTTCCACTTCCCCACACCAGGAGCCCCAGTGGTAGAGTGATGATGTGTTGGGCTGCTGACCTCAAGGTCAGCAGTTCAAAACCCCAGGAGAGAGACGGGCTCTCAACCCCTGTCAAGAGTTCCAGTCTTGGAAAACTCACAGGGCCAGTGATGCCTTGTCTTATGAATCTTGTTTCGTTTGGGGTGTTTTCCCAAAGACTAGGAGCAGGTTTGCCCCCCGCCCCACCCCACCCCTCCCGCCAGGTTTGGCCCTCCCTGAGACAGTTACTCTCAGCCTGGAGGCAATTGAGGTACTCGCTCACCTGCCAACCTCTCCCCCAGCACTGGTGGCCAGCAAAGTGGAACCTCTGGATTTCATCACTGGCCAGTTCCTGCCTTGCCCTCCAGGCCCTGGTACTTTGCCTCCCTGGGCACCTGTACCACCACCTTATCCCCCATCCCCACCCCTCCAGCCTGGCCTTCCCCTGGAGGATTCCTGAGA